CATCTTACAACTAGCTGTCTCCAAAAAGGCCCTATCATCAAATTTTAATTATTGACCTAACAATGTGTTATACAGGGTGTAAGATGTTTGACTGCCATTACTTCAGCATGAGATAGAGTAATCATAAATGAACAAGAAAGTTGTATATTACAGGGGCGTAAGATTAACAGTTTTCAAAATACAGCGAGTATTAATATTGGGGAGTTTCATCACAATGTGACAACAGCACTTAGTCTAACCTACACAGCTGATGCATACCACGTGTGCACGCGGCAGAGTTGTTCTATGGAAAAAATGTAAACAACTATTATTATGAAACATTTAGTAAATTTCAAGACAATTGTTATCCAGTCTCTAAATAATTAAAATAAAATGTATAGATTTTGTAGTAAGAAGATAGTGTTGTGCTTAAATTTTAGCTCGAATTTTAGTAATAACGAATCTTTTAAAACATGAACTTAACATTTCTTCAAATTATGAATTTGAAAAATATGTAATTAAACTACCAAAAGATTCACGGCATATAAATAATCATACGTTATAAAAATAGTTGAGATACTTGCCGAAAAGCAAAATTCAGTAATTTTTAAACGCACAAGTACAAAACAAACTACAACATATGCTCAAAGTGTCCACCACCATTTTCGATGCACGCACCTTCGAATCCAATTTTCGCGCACTCGCTGGAAAACACCTCAAGAAAAGGAAATAGTGGTACTCAAAAAACACTCAGACACTGGCCAATTCCAGATACCAACTGAACTGCGTATTGCTGACTGCTTAGTACCTCGTGTTATGCGCCGCGCCGTTGTCACATTGCTCGATATGAATTTTATCGAATTTTAAATTTATTACAACGCTAATTATTTTTTAGAATTAAGCATAAATTAGTTAAAAAAAGTGATAAACATTGTATTTTATGGTATTCTATGCACGCAGTTATGTCAATATTCCTTAATTAACGAACTTTTGTACATCAAGTTGGAGATTTTTTTTCGGAAATGGTTGAGTTTAGGACCCATGTCATATAAGGTTTTTTTGTTTATTTTAATGTGCCTATTATATCGTTTGTTAAAATTAAGGCAGTCAAACGTCTGAGACCCTGTATTTCAAAATTTTGTCAAGGTCATACTAATAGTTTTAATTAAATACGTCAATCAAATTCTTCAAATTTTCGTTCATTATATTTTCCCCATTTAAACCTATAACAGCCCTCCTAGCGGACCATTTTCTTCATTATTTTAGTTCAGATTATTCTACGAACACCCAGTATTTTCTCGCTTCTTACTGCCCATTTCAGATCATCCTGCGACAGGCCAGTAAGTCACCTTTATTATTGCGTGAGTCACACCTGCGGACGCATCTAATGACGGTAAGGTAGCGTATATCGCCGGGATTTAATTAGACCGAGCAACAAGTAGACGGCTTGCCAATTACCGTTGGTGCCACGAATCTGTGCACGTTGAGGTTTCTCTTTCTTTTAGGATGATCTCAGAAGGCCGTTCTAGAGCCAGGGTCAAGGTCGTTCCTTAAACGACGACAAGCGGGGATGATGACAGCAGATTTATAAAGTTCTTAAAACGCCAGGAAAAAAATAAATTGTAATTGAAGAAGATGCGTTTATTGCAACGGATCATTTTCGAAGTGGTAGTCGAAATGAAGACGGGTCATAGACATACTCTTTGTAATCCTGCATTGAGCAATTTATGACGAAACTTCCAGATGTAAATATTGACTAAGTAGTTTTTTTAAATCGGAAATGTGATTTTGTCGATACATTTGCAGCCAAACACTGTGTTGTTTGGTGACAAAATACAGCAACGAATAGATCAAAGTCCTACAAAGTCTTTATCTATCAAAGTTATTTGCTGAAACATTTAATTTCATTATTTATAGAATTCCAGCAAATATTTTCAAATTGAGTTCAGATTATAATTTATATCCTAAAATTATCATTTTTGAACTTTCAGTTGCAAGATGACACAAAAATTAAAAAAAAAACAACTGTATTCACACTGTAAGCAAAATCACTCAAAATCACTCAATTTTACTCCATGATGTATCAATTTCACACTCAATTGAGTGACATTTTCACTCTATTAGTACGAGTACAACTCAAATTTTATGAGTGAAACTATTGCAACAGAAGTGAGTGAATTTTACTCAAATCCGAGTTATTGCTAACTATCAAATGAGTGACTTTTCACTCTATTCTGAGTATGTAAAACCAATTAAGAGTTGCCTTTTCCGCGTGGCGCATAGGTTTCAAAATGCGTACGCGCGATAAAAGATGACTTTTCTCGGAAACGGTAGCAATTTCTTTTTAATTTTATATAGCAAAATGAGAGAAATACGAATATGTCATCAAAAATCAATAAAATAAATAATTTTTGCAAGAATTTTGAGTTTAAAGAATTATGCCACTTTCGTTTGGTTTTAAAAAATAGTTATATTATGGATGGTATCAAGTTTTATTAGTTTGTGTTCATCAATGCATAAAAAACACAAAATATATTTTCTTATTATAATGAATTATCTGTTAATTCATTTAAGTATAACAAAATTTTCAGTTAAATTAATGATAGGAGGAAGTTAAGAGGAAAATGGTATAAAAATTCTAAATGGTTATAAAAGTATAAAAATAGGTATTTTTAGTATTAATCATTGTTTATTATGGCAGCAAGTATCTCTAAAAAATTGTATTCCCCTTCTAAACCTTAATTTAAACCCACGGTACGCGATAAACTTTTTGAAATTTTCCTAATCAACAATCCTGTCAATCCAAAACCACGCTATCGATCGTTGCAAATTTTTTAGGGTAGAATTGACACTTACTATTTGTTCTCAAAGTTTTATCAATATTTATAAATGTTTACTTATTTTAAAACTTGCTCCAAATGTACATATGGTTTTCTACTATTTTTCGCCCGTTGTTAATGCAAAATTCAACTTTTTGATTCGCAGTTGTTTTGACTTTATAGAATATCGTCAAATAAACAAAAAATGAAGAATTCCTTTTTTTTTATTTAGGGCTTGCTTTTATTGTTATCGAAAAACGGGTAATTTTTCGTTCTTTATTTTTATGTTTGTTGTTGCCCTGAAATTACCAATAGTTTTTTTGAATAGGCAAACTTGGTTTCTTATTCTAAATAATATTTGGGATTTTTCTGCACGACAAAATAGATGACTTCAAACACAAACGCCAAGGCTCAATTTTACTGCTCTATCGCCTGGACTATTTCTATACAGATCTATTTTAGAGACAATCTTTTAGATCTCGATTAAAGGAATTGGTTAACTGATCGGACGAATCGATTGCCATAACCTATATTGTATGTTATAGATACGTAAGTATAGGTTACAATCTAACTATTCGTTTATTTAACCAAATATTAATTGAGACTTAGTATATTATTGTTTTTAATTATTGTAATCAAACTGTATACTGCATTTAAACACAATTTTCACCAAAATAACCGGATTAACATCAGGATATGACCTAATGGGGACAATGGGAATAGACAAAGACAACGCACGACAACCATAGAATGGGGTGGTCATTCATTACTACGATTTAACCACAAGTGCACCAAATACCAGTTTATCTGCTGTGCAGGAATTACTTTTCACAGGCAATGAAAGATGAAAATACTGTGATTGGTTTTTTAGCAAACATGCATAATAATTAAAATATTACCTAGGAACATTTAGCATCCGGAATATTAATCTTGCGATGTCATATTTTTTCCTTTATTTTGTTTTAGCCACATCCGTTTTGGCGAATTATATGGTTCGTAGAACAATTGTTTTGAAATTAAATTCGTTCGTAATTAAAACGGCAAGGAATTCATTGTGATCAGTCAGATGTAATGAATAGGAAACGAATCTTCGGACGTAAAAACAAGACGAAAACAACTCCATGTATCTTTAGTAAATTAAAACATAACTGCGTTTTAGTCGTAGCAGTTCCGCAGAAGTTTCCTATTGTCAACATTTTCAAATCTGGAATTGAATCGGTTCTTGAAGCTCGAGATTTACTCAATGAACTGAAATAAATAATGTTTCTAACTTTTTTAATGAATTATTAAGTATTTTGCATCCTTACATGATTAAGAACGAGTTTTTAGCAGAAGAGAATTCAATAATAGAATGCAACATCTATAATTTTTTTTAATATTTCACACGTATTTCAACATGATTTATTTCGATCACTTCGTGTAAGAAGAGATACAAAATGCAGGAAGTAATGAATCCTACAATCCTACACACTAATTCATACAAAAGAGTCTGTTTTTATTAAATTATTCTCCATTGCAGTTTTGCTTTCTAACATATGATTAAAAAAGACAACTGGGAATGCTGATAAGTAACGATACAACTTACTACACTAATTCTAGGTGGCCCGGTTTATGCCAGCACGTGCAGTTTAAATATCGGATTATAACTGGACTATTTGATCAGGTTAGTATTCTAGAGTGAGTTTAAATATATATTAATTTCGAGTAATTTGAATGATGCCGTGAAGATATATTGCTTCTGTAATCTCGACCGCAGTTGATAGGGGCCCGTTAGATGCTCCAGAAAAGCGTGATTGCCAGGAGAATAGGCCTTAGCCGGTGGCGGCGGGTCTCAGCTGGCAGGTCTCAGCCAGGACAGCAGGAGGCCTCGCGAAGTGAATTGGTTTCAACACTGTATATTCTAATTAATCATTTATGAGTGATTTATTTTTGCAATCAATATTTAGTTAATTGAGTGAAATTTGAGTGAAATTTTGTTACAGTGTGTGCATTGGCCTTTTCTTATGATTAAGTCCAGTGTATTGTACATCTACCCAATTTTCCATCTGTCAATACAGTATTAAGGGACTATTCCCCTACTCTAATATTATTTTGAGGAATTCATTTTATATAAAATTTCGCTTGGAAAAACTTACAAATTTTCTTAGATAGGTATACTTTATTTTCAATAAGAAAAATAACTTCATGTAACATTTTCTCATGAGTATTATCATAAACAATATTTGTAGAACATGTAGAAGGCTTTGAGCTTACAGATTATATAGGAGAAATGTGCAAAGATAATTCTGGTGAAATAAAAGGAGTGAAAAACTGTGAAATTTATTGGAAAATTTGAGTACTTAATCAGAGAATTGATCTTGTAGAGTAGGTTGTGGAATCTTCCGTTTACGCTGGATATCACGGAAGAACTGTAAGGTATGGAATCGAAAATCTAGTTTTTCTTCATCATTTAATTTTCTGAGGTCTCCAAGAATAGACATCAAAAACGACTTATCCGAATCTTCACTAATCTCTTCCCTTGCCTCTTGAGTATTTCGATTACCTAATTTCTCCAGAAGTTTCTGTTCGAAATCATTGAAAGTCTCCGATTTTCGAGCACTGGGTTTCCTAAAAACTGATGCTTTAGTGCTAGTACGTACAGTCTCTACTACATCTTCATCTGTTTCGCTGCTTTCATTCTTTTCGTGCGGGGATTGGCTTTTATACTCTTCTTTTATCTCTCGAGAAACATTCCTTGACGTCGTTCGCTTGGACAGAGTTTGTAGTAAGAATGATAGTGAGTCGGCGTAGACATACTTCTTTTTCTTTAGAGTAGGATCTCCGTTTCTCTCTTGATTAATGTATTTGCTGAAAGAATCCCTCATATGTCTCCATTTGGTTTTCATCTCTTTCACTGCAAGCAAGAGGAACATTTTAGTTATAATAGTCTAAAAGAAATTTTTTAGAAATAAAAAAAAGAAGACGACGAAGTTAGTGATTTTGGACGAAGGCAAAATATTCAGAAGATGATGTACATTTCCAAACACATCATACATTCCAAGCATTCCTTACGATAATATTTTGAAGCAATTTCATTACATAAACAATGAATGTTTCATGGTTTTCAATTATACGTTTCCATTACCTTGATCTTGCTTCTCCTCTTCAGACATTTCATCCCATTCATCGAACATCACTTCACCGATAACATGCCAACTTTTCTCCCTTGATTTACGATCACTGTACCCCTTGCAGCTCTTCTTCCATATTGGGGGGTGATCTTGGATGCACTGGATAAATTTTTCCTTGTTAAACATGGCGCATTCCTCGAGTCGGTTAAAATAAAACACGCAACGCGCGAACGCTGTTGTTTAACTGAACTAGATTACCCTCCCGTCGTCCCGTCATCCTGTTTGACGGTGCCTGTGCGGGTATATGCGCTGTCTGCGTTTTTACGATACAAGTATAGTGGATTCGTCGCTTTAGTCGAGGTCTTCCTTCCAAACCGTACCCGTCACGATGCTTCCGCTGGATATGTTCAAATGAATTATTCAGTACACATGTAGGTAACGCTAAATTAGAAAATTAAGTAAGTGTTGCTTACCTACGTAACACGTAAAGTAACGTATTATTATTTTTTTATATATGGATAAAACAAAGGTGTCATCTACAAGTAGTGCTTGTAGATGACACATTGCATCAAGGGCAAAGAAGAATGTAGACCTTTCTTTGTTTCTGAAAATCTAAAACGTAATTCTATGTGATAAATTAAAATATGGAGAAATGTATTATACTCCCTGTACATAATTTAATACAGAACTATTCGAATCCCCTGATAACTTTCAGGATCAATTTCTATGAAAAAAAGTATCAAATAAAAGTTGTAGCATACCATGAAACCACTATGGAATACAGATTTGACCTTGACATTAATATTCAAGGTCAAACCAAGGTCAATTTGAGAATATTATATGGAACCTCTCATTTTTTATGCCAATCAATAGAGCGCCAAATGTTCTTTCAGGTCACTTGGATGTCAAAATTGTTTTTCTTCGAGTAACCAGACAAATATTTTTCAAAATAAATTTGTATGACCAATTATTATTTTTACCTAACAATGCGTTAAATTTCAAAATTGTTGTCAATGTTACTCCGATAGTTTTTTAAATTAAATTCTATTAAATTTATATCCAATATTTTTGTAAAAAATGAGTTTGACCTTCAAATAATATGCAAGGTCATCTTGGAAAAAATTTTTAATGCCAGATTCCGACATAAAATTTAGCACTTTGGCGGTTGCTGGCGGAAAAAATTGCGTATCCTGTTTGATATTAAATTGACCTTAGTGTGATCTTGTAACTTGTGGTCAAAGTCAAATCCAAGGTCATCATATAGTTTGTCATTCAAAATCCTACAAAATTTACTTGAAACATGTTTGTCAAGTTATTCAGAACCAAGCGACCTCCAAGTGACCCGCAAGGAAATACAAAAAAAAAATATCTTATTTTTGCACATAAAATTTGATAATCTATCTATTTTCAAGATACAGGGTGTCAAACTTGTTTTAAAAGATTATATTTTTCATAAAAAATTTTAATCCTTTTAGTCAAATTTGTTGAAAACCAATATTTTTGATAAAAAAATGTGCGCCACTGATTTTTTTAAAACTTTTATTTTTTTTGGCATTAAGTTTTTTGCTTCCTTTTTGGAGAAATAAAAAAATTAAAAAATTACTTTATTGCATGTCCATAGGCAACAAAAAATTTTTTTAATAATTAATAAAACCCAAAAAATTTTTTTTAGCTAGTATTAATTTTTATAGCAATTTCTAAGACTAAAAGAGATCATTGATGTGGAAAAAATAACAGGTACACCCCAGTTTTGAAAATTTTGGTAGTTTTAATTTTTTATTATGTTGACCCACGGACATGAAATAAAGTGATTTTTATTTTATTTTGCTCCAAATAGGAAAAAAATTCAAGAGACAAAAACGTTGCATTTTTAGTTGCTTAATGCGAAATAAATTATAAAAGTTTTCAAAAAGTCAGTGGCGCATATTTTTTTTTATCAAAATGGTCCCCCCCGGGACGCCACCGGACATAATAATTTTAATCTAGTTAGGGCTAAATTAGCTCCTTTCTACCATAAATAACACTGCCAAATATTAAGAAAATCGGCTAAACGATTATTAAGATTTTTACGAAAAATCTATTTTTTTAAAAAAGTTTGACACCCTGTATATTGAAAACGAAGCATTACCGGACCTATGTTTATATAAACTTTTCGTCTTAAAATCACTGAAAGAATCACCCCTTGAAGTTTGGCCACGTACGTAAATAACACCCTGTATTTCTAAGACTTTTCGGATAAGCAGGACTATTTATAAAAAAATACTTTTAATGTCTATTAATTCTATTTAAGAAAAATCACTCGAATAAGCAAACCTTAAAATGCAAAAATGCCATAGCGGAGTCATCTTGGCTGAATATCGAGATAATTTGTTTTTAAGTTTTCAATATTATTTAATAATTTCATGTATGTGTTTTTTCGTTAGTACTATTCATTTATATTTTAGATCACGATTAGCTTGTGTATGTATAGTTACTTCTTCAAAGAGCATATCACTTTAATTAAATTAAATAATCTATCCACTTCCATTCCGAAATATACTTTTAAGAGCCGCGCAACTTCCAACCTAATTAGATGAAGCATAATATAAAAAACCTCATGACGATGCATAGATCTCAGGATAAAAGAACAAGTAGTTCTAGAAGCGACCTTGTGCCAAGGCCATGTTTCGTTGAATATTGACCCTTTGCAGACAAAAACGAGAGAGGAATATTGTATTCCACAATGACCTACCAAAGAGGCAGAAACCACAAAAAACTTTTGGTGAATCATCGCCCGAATTACAATACACCTATTTTACATACGGAATATCTTTCAGAATTGCGACGCAATACCAATCCACTTCCAGTATATTGATTCTGCGAAAAGAGCGTATATTTTTTTTATCTGAAAATTCTTATTGCTAATTAAATCTACCAAAAAATTTGTTAGTGTACTACAGGGTTCACAATATGTTTATTTGCTTAGATAGGTATATCTTATGACCAAAAAAAAAATTACGGAAATGTTATAAATAATGTATAAGTATGCCAATATTGTCAATATGAGTACTAGAGACTATTTTTTTTGTTTCTGATTACTTAGGACAAGTTAATTCATCTTTATATCTGATAGCGGAAGAACATCATCTAATCTTACTACTTACGTAATGATTTCTATATAAAATGTAAGTGGTTATTGTGTAATATGCAAATATTAAATGAAACTCATGTAGTGCTCAAATACCCAATATTGGAATTAATAACTGGTCACTTAAACAAACAATACGACAAAAACCATTTGACATTGAATTACGCTAAAGTATGTAAAACAAATAAAGTGAATTTTTTTTGTCAAATCACGAACTGTTCTTTATAGATAAGAAATCGGATAATTTTGGTCGATTCTGATTATTTTCGTCCTAAAATTAAAGTAACTGTATTTTATAATTGGTAATCCAGAATGCGGTTGTTGTTGTTGTTTTCAACAATTAATTTAAATTAAATAAGCTCATAAACAAAACGGATGTCAGTCTCTATTTTCAACAAATTGGATTAAAAGAATGTGTGACCTTAAAAAAAACATTCTAAGGAGCCAATGGACTCTTTTCACGTCTTGAGTGATTTAATTTTTTTATATTTTATTTGCGGAGATCGATCTGGCGCCTAATTTGGCAATCTGAAAAAAATCTCAGTTCAGATTACTCGCTATTATGTTGTCTAAATTCCCTGGATTCTTTTAAGCATTCCAGAACATGTGCTTTTCAGTTGGATGGATAATATCAAATCAAAGCTCCTTCAGGTTGAACAAACATGTAATTTGCTAGACGAAGATTATACATTATATTCGATATTTATATAATATAAAATGTCAATAATGTATAATTACTTGTTGGGCCATTTTTAGCAAATTGAAACATATTAAGAAAATTACGCACATCATCTCTACATAAATAACAAAAAGCATTATTTAAATAACCATTGTACCATTTTGCGCTGTTAATTAGACGTATTAAGCTTAGTTAGCACCTAAGTTATTTGTTAATAAACACTATTAGGTAATCCATATTCGTGAGAAAAGTTGAATGCTAATTTCGTATTTGTTTAGGTAATGAAATGCTTTCAGAGTCTATTTAGTTACAGTTATGAAAATATCCTAATTTTTGTGGGGATTACCGGTGTTACGCCTTCTTTTCTACGCAAGTAAAAATCAATTTTACGACGCTGTATCATTTATAAATTATTTATGCAAACTCATACATATGTGGTTTCTTGAACCTTATTTGTATTATTGGGATGGGTGGGTCAATATCTCGTAAATAATAAAATACGTGCAATTATTAAAAACGACATACCACTGTGACATGTAAGAGACACGCGAATAAACAAATAAGTAAAATGATAAATGTATATACTTAATCAAGGGAGGTTACAGCAAAAAAATCTCTGGGGTGTCAAATTCAAAGATGGATATATATCTGCATTTTGTCTACATTCGCTGTTATAATAATTAATAAAAAATAACACTCAATTATTGTAATGTTATCTATATTTGACTAATACTCAATGTTAACGGGAACCGTAGTCAAAACAGAACATAGCCAATACGTTATTTTGATAAAAATAGCATAATTTTTTTATTGATTCATTTTTCAATTATAAATTCGTATTTCTTCTCAGCAGCATTACAAAATTTATATCGCAAATGGCAATAAGCTTTTTTAATAGATTCTACAGCTGTATCAAAAAAATATTTGTATTAATTCAAACATTTGTTTAAGATGAATTGGTGAAAGGTAAACCAAATCCTTGTTCTATTTGTGAATCGCCCGCTGGTTCGACGAGGAAGATAGAAGGCTGTGGTGACATTTTGTGGTATAAATTAATAATTTATCTCTGAATGACTTCATAGTCTCTGGAACCTTTTATATTTCCTATTATTATTTATTTCTAGTCCAAATCTGAAAAACACTTCTGGGTCACCTTATGCTGATGGTTGGCTTATGGTGGAAGATTCCCATCCATTATTTTTATTTATTTATTTACGACGAATAAATATATAAGTACATACACAGATGTGTACATAACAATAAAATGACAATTAAAAGAAAGAACGATAATACAAACAAAACTATGATCACAAAGCAAAATAATATATAAATAATGAAATAATATTAAAAAGGAACAGAATAGAAACAATTAATGTTAAAAAACCATGTACAACTGGTAATGAATAAACAATAGCATATGAACA